GATTGTATTTATGATATTTACTGCTTCACTTGCTAAATATCCTTTGACCACAGTGACCCTTCTTTCCTGATATTTTCAATTGTACAAAGCTCTTTCCTGCCTCAAGACCCTAGGACAAACTATCCTCTCCCGTAAGAATTTTTTCCCCTTGATTTTCATAGAGCTAGTTCTCCCTCATCATTTAAGTCAGCCCAAGTATTTCTTTCTTACAGATGCCTTCCCTGACCATCCTACCTAACACAGATTTATCTCTGACATTTTCCATATTAATATGCTTCTGTCTATAATTCTTATAACACCCAGATTTTCTATTTATTTCCTAATTTTAAGCTCCATGAAGTCAGAAGGCAGGTTTTTTTATCTATTCATAGTACTTAGCACGGTGTCTAGCACCACATATGCACTGTAAGTATATACTTATTGAATGAATGAGTTCTTGAGGAGAATGAACATAATGGGTGTAAAAAGCATTTTTAAACTTAACCCTCTACAGGTTATTTTTTTTAAGTTTTATCACTTGTTGTTATTTGCTCAATCTCTCAGACTTGAGCATATGGTTAGGAGTGAAGACTGATCCTTATAGACTTGAATTGGAATTTCACCTCTTCTATTTAAACTATGATCTAGGACAGATAATTAACCTCAGTAATTACCTGAGAGGTTGGTCATGAGAATTAAAAGGCATAATGCATAAAGGGAGCCTAGCATAATGCCTGTCATACAGTAGGCCATTAGTGATCTTGTTATGTCGCTTCTAACTAGAGGACCAACCATCCCAGTTTGCCTGAGATGGACGGTTTTTCTGGGATGGAAAACTTTGAGTGCTAAAACAGGACAGTCTTGGACAGACCAAAATAGTCATCTTACCATCAACATGCTTTCATACCAACCCCTCGTTCTCCTACATTTCCAAACTCTTTTCTTCACTTAGACCATAAAAACTATATCACAGTCATCTTCAGCTAGTACAACAATATCTTTCAGACAATCTCAAACCTCATCTTACAGGCCTCCACGGTATTGGTTACAATAATTCCATGGAACACACTGAGACTCCTTAGAGGAAGAGAAACTGTATAGATGATTGCTATCTCTTCTCTCAAATTTATTACTAGCTCCTCACTTCCATCTTTTCTTCAAATTTACTATCTACCCACTTTCCTAGGATCTCAAGGTTTCAGGGAATTGAAACATAACTTCTCAGTGCTAAGAGTTTACCCTTAGGGTTTTAGTTTAAAAGCAGGGTGAATATTAAATTTACTTTGTTAAAGTATACAACCCAGTCTTTAGTATAGTCACAGAGTTATGAAACCATCACAGCTATCTAAAGGTCAGAATAGTTTTCATCAAATATAAACCTTTATCCATTTTACCATTCCCTTCAGTATCTGGCAATCACTACTTTACTTTCTACCTTTATGTATTTACCTCTTCTAGACTATCAGTAAAAACAGAATCATGCAATATGTGACTTTTTGCTTGGAGAACTTAGGGACTAATTCAAAATATCACAGCTTGTGAGGGGAGAAGCTAAGAAACAATTCCAGGAATCTAACATACAGAGCCCTCAAGCTTAACTTTGAATTACTTTGATTAGAATCTTATACTTGACCAGAGTTTTAGAATATTTAAAAACAATCTTTCACACTTATCTGTTTCACGAATCTTTAATAAATGCTTAGTAAGTTCCAGACACTGTGTTAGGTGTAGGGAAAAAGTGGGGAACAATAAGATAACATTATTCTCAGACTATTACTATATGTAATACAGATATATAACTAAAAGGCTGCTATAGTTTAGAAAGTATTTCCCTAAACAGGGCACCTATGAAAGCCATATCAATACTGGATGGGAGGCAAGGATGAGATTATTCCCTTTTTATACATAATAAGAAAAGACTCCAAAGTTAATTCCCTTCCTCAAGTCAAATTGGAAGGATTTACAGAAGATGAACAATGTTTTTTCGTTTCCTTTGTGGCTATTGTTATTTTTTTTTAAATGGACCACTTTTTCATGAAAAATGCAATAATAAAAGTCCATTGACTATAATTTATTGCAAAATGTAGTAACTGGCTTGCTGCTGTTACTACATTTCTGCTGAAGATGACATATTTTCACTTGTGTTTTCTGCACTACTGTATTTATCTTTTTCTTGACAATTATGCTCTTTGCCCCCCAAAATAAGAGTCCTCCCTATTTGTAGTTCATAGAGCCCTTTCACAAGGAGCCTCAAAGACCCTTTCTTGGTAGGTACCCATAATTATGGTCATTTTACAAATAAGTAATTCTGGTTCAGAATACTGAAAAGATTTTCCCATGGTTCTTCAGGGAGTCGCTGTTCTTCCCTCCCCCTACTTAAAATACAAGTTTATACACCTGCTAAAAGCTCTAATAATTCACCGTGATTTCCAAGCACAGCGGTTTCCAGAGTGAAGGGAGTGTTGAGAGGAGCGGCAAATCTCTGTAGCTGTGGGTTATTTGTAAGCTAAGAGTTTACACATCAAGACTTGTCTTCGCTTAAAATCCCTAAAACAGTACAACTAGAGGAGGAGAAATAAAGGTTGTATTTCATATGAATTGTCACTAAATACTTCTATCAATTTCTCTTAGAGCTTTGGAACTCACTCTTTCAGTTCAACATCTTGGAAAATGTCAGAAGTTCAAAAAATCTTGACTGTGAAGTGACTTTCCTTTGTTCGTCATAAGTGAACCCATTTGAATCAACCATCATCTTTCCTCCAAAAAGCAGAATTCATTACATTTTCTTATTAAAAAAAATCAATAAATCTTATGCGATGGAAAGTTCCTCTTTAACTCAAGATATATTTAATGAGACACACCAGAATTGTGTTTGTTTCTAGAAATACAGAACTGAGTAGGAAGTGACCTCTGCCTTTGAGTAACTCAGTCTGATAGGCTAATTGGACAATTCACTTATTCAGTAAATATTCTTTAAGAACTTATGAACTGAGAGAGTTGGCTACGCTCTGGGTCCTTACTGGTAATCAAAATAAGTTTGTTCTTTGTGCAGTTTACAATCCAGGGAGGGAGCAAGAAAACAAGACTATAAAAATATAATACAATGTGAAAAGAGAAAAACAACCCATGACATCCAGGAGCTAACCTTGGCATTGCCATAGCACTCTTTGGTCCAAATGAAAACTGAAAAACAAGTGACCGTGATGTTCTCCTGTTTGGCAAACAACTTCGCAGAATATTAACATCCAACAAAGCTGGTCTGCAACCATGATGAATCAAGACGAAGACAGTACTACTCTATAATTAAGCCTAAACTCAGGCAAAACAAACATCATGCAAACTACCAAACATCCCCTATTTTAGGTTAATATGAGTGACTGTTGCTTCTTTACCAATTACAACTTTAGCCCATTCTTTCCTCCTTCTAAATAAGACTTTTTAAGATGCCAATCATAGAATTCTCACTTCCTGAGGGTATCCAATCCAGGGCAAAGCCATTAAAATTTCCCCAAATCAACCTAATAATCCCAAATCTAGGCAATAAATCCTTCCTAATATCCTTTTACTGATGTACCTTATGGCTTCCATTGTGTTCTCTCTCACAGAGATGAATAATATATCCAACCTGTCCAACTAAGGTGCTCCTCATGTGTAGTCTTGGGCAAATGCAAAACTTGAAAGTGGCAACAATACCATGCCTGTTGTTCAAACCCTCTTTCTTGCTTTTCTCTTCAGGGGCATAAGGAACATGAAATGGGTACTACTTGAACTCTTAAATTAAGGGGTATGGAATATTTTATTAATCTATTTATTCACTCATTGGCTTATATGCTAACTTCTTCCAAAAATAATTTAAGGAGGCTGATATTATTTGGTGGATTCAGAGGTATAGAGTAGGGGGCAGCTCCCTGATAACTGTCATATAAAGACAACACTCTGACCTAACAGGACACCTAGAGACAATGGAACCTAAGGTGGGATGACAGTACCCCAATGACCCTGATGTTTAATAGGATACCCCTTCCCCAAAAGCCGAAGCTCCCTCTATCCTTTCCTCAACCATATTAATCACCTGCTGTCAGCTGATACCTGACTCCCTGTCCTTATAAGCATCTTCTTCGCTTTATTGGACACTCTTCATTCCCATCTCCATTTTCGATTCTTATTCACTACTGGTGGAAAGTCTGTTCTCAGGTTTTTAGAAGAAAAATCCTCATATTTTTTTTCCTGTTAGTCTTCAAAAACATAAGAAGCTCTAAATCAATCTTCAAGTAAGTCTAAGTCAAGTTACTCTTAGCCAAACATAATGATTTTCAAGTGACTGCTCTCATAAGAGGCGTTTAAAAACATGTTGGGATTTGATTTTTGTTTGTCACAGTGACTGGAGTGGTACTAATAGCATTCAGTAGATAAGTACCCTTCAATGCATGACACAATAAAGAAGTAACCCATCCAAAATGCCAATAGCTGACCTCCCTGATGGTCCAGTGGTTAAGAATCCACTTGCCAATGCAGAGTACATGGGTTTAATCCCTGCTCCAGGAGGATTCCACATTCTGCGGGGCAGTGGAGCCCACGCACCACAACTACTGAACCAGCGAGCCCTAGAGCCCATATTCCACAACAAGAGAAGCCGCTGCAAGAGACGCCTGTGTACTGCGACTAGAGAGCAGCCACGACTTGCCACAACTGGTGAAAGTGATGAAGATCCAGCACGGCCATAAATAAATAAATAGAATTTTAAAATTCTAAAAACATCTGCTTTAACAACGAACAAACAAAAAACCCAAAATGCCAATGCTACTTCTACTGAGAAACATCTCACCCATAGAGGCAAAGTTATCTACTGCATCCAACCCTGCTGCTTCTTCCCATGCCCACACCAGGTATCAGTAATCAATGAGTACATGCCACTGAGCTGGCCATGGTTGCAAAATCTTTCTCAACATAGCAATCAAAGCATGTTGTGTACATCAGATTTGGCATGGAAAACAAAATCCATTTGTCATCCTGGCCCTTACCTTTTTAAGACAAAGGAAGCCTCATTGTTCTTGAGATGAAGTCTCCATGTGGCACCTGGGTCCTCTTCCATTTCCTTGCCTTGATCATCTATCTGTAACAGAGAAGAAAAAACCCGAAACATGTGATAAGCCCACTCTCAAGGTTCTGCCCCTCAGGTTAGACCTTTAAAGGTAGAACATTTTTCATTCATATAGAAATAAAAATTCGCAGAACAGAGACTACTTGTTACAAGTTTACAGGAATGTCATGACAGCTAGAAGCACAAATGATTCTGGCACCGAGAAGTTTGCAACAACTGATCACACTTCCTTCCCTTTTAATATAAAAGAAGCCTGAATTTTAACTCTGGATACACTAGCTCCATCATCTTCATGATTTGCTGGCTTTCCAAATAAAGTGGTCATTTCTTGTCCAAACATGTCATCTCTTGATTTATTGTTCTGTCATGCAGTGAACAATATGAGCTTGGACTTGGCAACATGACCATTCTCCCAGGTCTTCTAAGACAAGGGCACCATCAGTGATGTCAGCTCTGTGGCTGGGACTCTGCACCATCCCAACGGATCTGACTGAAGCATCTCAAGTTTTGCTCCTTATGCAGTGAGTGAGCTACACCCTCTAGTGGGGAAAACACACGTAGTATATTGAACTTCTTTGGAAGAATAACACCGAAAAGAAATCTCATCTCAGATACTGAATTTTTTTTTTTAAAAATGGGGTTGGGGGAGGTGGGAGCAAAGTAGGGGAGCTGGGGAGGATTTCCATGGCACTTGTACCTTAAAAATCCAGAAGGATCTCTGAATTCAGGCATGACTCCACCCAGTCTCACAAATTGTTGCCAGGTTTTTTCTGGTCTCCTTTTTTTGATCCATCCATGTTTTCCTTGATATTTTCTTCATTCTTAGGCTTTGACCACTTCACCCATTCCAGAGGTAAACCGTGGAAGCTCCAGAGTTACAATTTCAGTAGAAGAGAACCTTCCTTTCTTAAAACTTCTAGTAAAAGATTTGAAGCTTATACACTAGTTGGGATAAGATTGCTGAATCAGTCTTTAGGGCTACAAGTGTGCTTTAACTTTTATTGAAATAGAGTAAACTACAAGGCACTGCAGGAACCAGAGGTGAAGCAGACCTCCTGAATGGACTAGACGAGGATAAAGAACTGTTCCCCAAAGGAACATTAAGGCACTGTTGCCAGGAAAATGAAAGAAGTAACTAAACCACAGGTTAATACTACCCTTTTGGGATTCCATTTTTCTCTCCTCTGAATCTGAGGTTGTCCTCAGGCCTGCCCAAAGTTCAGTCCCCTGCTATTTTCCTGCCTTTACCACACTTAGCTATCTGTATCATAATAAGTTATGGTACTGCCAGGAGCTGAAACACTTTACTTAGTAGAAGGCAAGGAAATATCACCCAGAGAGCTAAGCCTTCTGGAAAATACACTTTCATACCCATACAAAATCATTTGATGTGCTGGCCCACAAACCATGGGCAGTCTGGTGCCCTTTCAACTTCAGAGGACCCCAGGGCATTTCTGTTCTCACGGTTACATCTTGCTCTCCTAATTTTGCAGAGTTCTCCATCAACCCCTCATTTCACCTTTTAATATTATCCACCACTTTGGCGCAGCACTTTGGTGCTTCATTCCTCAAGCATTTTCAAGGCTATTCAGAGTAACATGTTTTCTGAAGGTTTAGGATAATAGAGGTGGTTAATGGCTAACACAGCATAGTAAATATTGTCAGGAATATCTTTGTTAAAAGTGATGAAATCTAACTGAAACTTAGCCTAGGTCAAACAAGAATTGGGTGGGTTCATGCAATTAGCAGGACCCAGGGTCTTAATTCAAGATCAGCATATCCCCAGACTGAAGCAACGCAAGGAGTCTTACTCTCCACCTCTGACCTCTGCTAGTCTATGAATTGCATGAAATGCTGGTTTCATCATCTCCCATACAGATTCTATCTACATGATGATTTAATGCTGTTACCACCCTAGTCATGTGTCCTCACAGCTTGAGAGCCAAAAGGAAAAGGGCTGGGGTGGGAAGAAGGGAAATCATGGGGCTTAGCTATTCCCCATCAATATGCAACTACAATCTGCCAATATGGGGAATTGAATTTTTAAGTAATTATCTTATAACCAAAAAAATTAAATGCAAGCATAGAAATGAATAAATCACATCTATATTTTAGTTTGGGTTAAGAAATAGTCTACAAATAATTATAATTTAAAATATAGATACTTTAAGAAAATATAACATAGTAAAGAATATGATGGATGAATTGTGTGATTCCAATTTTAAATCTTTAATTATTGATTTAAATTTAGAATTTTAAGAGAATAAAAATTTTATTAATTGTGTATTATTGGCACTTTGAGAAGTTGTCATTTACCACCTTTATGTTTAACTGAATAGAGTTGTAACATTTGGAAAGAATTTTGTTATAACTGAAGTACTTAAAAGCAAAAATTGAGCACATTTATTGTTTCATTAATTCCTTCATCCAACTAAGCTTAACTGTATACCCACCCCCCTATCTGTTCATGTTTGAAAAATTGATTCACCTGGATGTTTGCCTGTCTCCCTTGACCAAACTGCAGGTAGAAATATATCCACTTATTATATTTGTTTCTTTGCAACTAGTCCAATGCCTCCCCTGAGAGCAAGCATTCAGAAAATATTTGTTGAATGAATTAATGAACCATGTCAGATTCAAAATACAACCAGTGTTTGAAAACTACACCTGCTTTCTACCTGTTACTTTTGGAATTTAAGGACCATCAGTTTCCATCCCAGTATTAGGCTTATTTGAGTGGGCCCAGTTCATCAGCATTTTTCATTTCTTTCCTTGTGACAGCTGAATGAGGTTAATTCACCTTCTACTAATCGGGGGGGAACTTGCTTATTTAGTCAAGGTCAGGAGAGTCAGAGTATGTGAAGGGAAACTGAGTCCTGTGTGCACTATATGCAGCAAAAGGAAATTGAAATGGTAGACTGAAACCAAGGCATATTGGGCCTTGCAACTCTGATCAACAAGAAATAAATGTATGCTTTAAGGTTTAAAGTTTAAGAAAAAATGAGCCATTGACACATTCCTTGTGTGCTTTAAGAAGATTAATCAGATTGTTATTTGGAGGAAAAATTACAAGAGGACTAGGAGTTTTGAAGTAAGATAGCTAAAATTTCACAGTGATTCTCTTTATTTGCTATCTGTATGAACTTTAGCAAAATACTTAACCTCTCTGAACCTGAATTACATTACCTGTAAGATGGGGTAAGCAATGCTTACCTCACAGAGTTCATAGGGATTAAACATAATGATGTATTTTAAATGACTGGTAGAGAGACATTGTGACTAACACAATGAAAAAACAAAGCATTAAGAATTTGCAAGTGAGACACAAGAGACAGGATGATGAGACAGAGAGACATAATTAAGAAGTAGTGACAGAAGCTCATGGGGGAAGGAAAAGTGAGCTGAACTGGGTGTTTGTTATTACTATTTCAAGCATACTGCACAGAGCCTGGACACTGTCCTCTGTACTGCTTGGGTATCCTGACATTCCAATGGGCAAGAGTTTCCCAAACTTCACTTAAGTGTTCTTTGTAGATGATGTCTCCCAGATTGCTTAGGAGCAGAAACTGCTTCCTACTCATCTCTGCAGCCCTAACAGTCTAACATATTCCCAGGTCCCACACAGTCTTTTAGTAAATGCTGACTCATGGTAAATAGTTCTTGGCATTTCAAACATCTCTTTTTCTAAAAAAATAACTTCTTTACTCTCACATCTCTAGAGAGCTGGCTAAACGATCAGTACTTAATGCAGTTGACAGGGAAAACACAGTAAGGCTTATTACTTAAAAGAAACTTTTTTGAGTTCCTGAAGTTTCTAAATCTTTTCACTTTCTTGAGACATAACCTTGATCTTGAACAGTATGGTTCAAATTAAAAATGAAAAACAATGGCCTTGTTTATGCTCACTTAGGTCTCATGTTTATAAAAGCTACCCATGAAACTTTTTCTTTTTTCCTTTTGTGTGTGCGCATGCACGTGCACACGCCTAATCTACCAACTTGTGTTTGGTTTTGATAGTGCAATTCTCTAAGCATATACCTACTTCCAACATCCTTTCACAGCATTTCCTTATGTAACTTGGGAAATTTTAAGATGCTTTGAAAGTGAACTTCAGAAAAACCACATGGTAAGAATTCAGTCCTTGAAACTTCAAACACTACTGAGAAAAAGGAGAGAAAAAGAGTCTCTGAACAATCAAATAGTAACAGCTAACCTTTTCAGAATATTTGCTATGTGCTAGGCACTCTTCTAAGTGGATTACAAACATTATCTCACAAAAAAAAAAAAATGAGAGAAAGGCTGTTGAGAAATTGGAACCCTTGTGCACTGAGAATGTAAAATGTAAATGAGAATGTAAAATGGGGTAACTACTATGGAAAAATTAAAAACAGAATTTCCATGTGATCAAACCATTCCACTTTGGGATATATATCCAAAAGAATGGAAAGTTGGATTTAGAAAAGATATCTGCACACTAATATTCACTGAAGAATTATTCACAATGTCTATTTACAACAGACATGGTGGAAAGTGGGAAGCAACCCAAATGTCCAGTGATGGATGAATGAACAAGCAAAATATGATATATGCATACAATGTAATATAACTCAGTCTTAAAAAGGAAGAAAAGTCTGACACATGCTGCAGCAGAGATGAACCTTGAAAACATTATACTAAGTGAAAAAAAACAAAAAGGACATATTCTATGAGTCTACTCATATGTGTACAGCAAGAGAAAAGAATGGTGGTTGTCAGGGGCTGGGCTGTGGCAGGTGGGAATTGTTAGGGCATATGGAGTTTCAGTTAGGGAAGATGAAAAAAATCTGGTGGTGGATGGTGATGTAGTCACATAACAACATAAATAGTCTTAATGCCAATGAATTAATGCCACTGTACACTCAAAATTGGTTAAAATACTAAATTTTTTTACATATATTTTGGTGGTGGTGATCTAGTCCCTGAGTCGTGTCTGACTCTGGGGACCCCGTGGACTGCATGGAGCCCACCAGGTTCCTCTGTCCATGGGATTTACCAGGCAAGTATATTAGAGTGGGTTGCCATTTCCTTCCCCAAGGGATCTTCCCAATACAGGGATGGAACCTGTGTCTCCCACATTGGCTGGTGCATTCTTTACCACTGAGCCACCAGGGAAGCTATGTATGTTTTACAATTAAAAATAAATCATGCAAAGAATCACTCAGGTACACCCTCAAGACTATACTGGTGGGGCTACCAGCCTTCCTTTTTGAATCCTGTGCTAATAAAATCTATATACCTCCCCCCACCAAAACACACACACACAAAGGAGGTACTGTAGTAAATTAAAGATGGGCCCCCAATTTTTTGCTACTCATTCAATTAAGAGGTGGAATCTTACCCTTCTCATTTTGAATCTGGGTGGCTTCCTTGACCAACAGAATATGACAGAAGTGATTTCCGGGACTCCAAGGCTGAATCATTTGAAGTCCGGTCCTTGAGTTTCCTTCTGTACTGCTTGGCACAGCTCACTTTCTACTCTATTTCTGAGTGCTCCCTATCATAACCCAGCATTCTCCTGTGAGAAATCCAAACCAGAAGGATAGATCATGTGTAGGTACTCTGATGGATATTTCTAGCTGAGGCCCTAGAGGGCTTGCAGACTAAATTGTCCACAAGGGAACTTCCATTTGAATTTGCAGTTAAAAGTCTCATCTGACATCTAACATCAAATGCATGTAACCCCAATTTAAAACTGCCCAACTGAGCCCAGTCAACTCACAGAATCCTAACAAATTATGGTTAGCCACTAAATTTTGCGGTGGTTTTGCATGTACTTACCATAACGACATCCCTTTTTTCCTAACAAACCCGAAGCTTAGAGTTTACATCTCAAGGTCACAGATTGAGTACTCTGTGGTTGTTTGAACCCGCAGATGTGGACTGCAGTAGGGAGGGCCTGCTGTAAACTTATATTCGAATTTTTTTATCTGTAACCCCAGAGTTGTTCAAGGGTCACCCATATTTAGGGGCAGGGCATTTGGAGAGTATACAAAATCTGGGTTTCAATCTAGCTGTGTGACACTGAGCAATTATCTCGTAAACATACAATGGTTCGTGTCATTTCAGTTAAAGAATGTTGTGGTCATGGAGCCATCAGTCACTGCAGCTGTGCCTGAAGGTGCATCCTAATGGGATTCAATTCGGAGAAAAGCAGGATTATAGACCCTAGAAATTTAAGGTACATATCAAGAGAATGATTTCATTAAGCCCAGATTCTCATATTACCTCATACATAAAAAAGAGCTATGTTCATTAACTTGACATTTTGTTTCTTTAATCAGCAGTAATATTTTCACGTTCAACTAACTGCTTTTTTTCTTTTGCAAACTCTCCTATACACATCTGCACGCCTTACCTCTTCAGAACCGTCATTCGCAGATATCTGAGAGGCCATCTCCACAGCTTAACTCCTCAGCCAGTGCGCTGAATAAAAGGTAATTCCCTACTTTTAGGCTGTGGGTTGTTGTTGTTGTTGTTGTTGTTTTCAGTCCACACCCTCTCTGAAGATAATTTTTGTAAGGAAAAAACCGGGTCAAATTAACTTCTACCAATATGTCACGGTCGTGGCGAGTGTTTAATTAGACAATGATGAGGAAATCCTTTGGAAACTATAAAATACTGTAAAAAACGTACATACACAATGTCCCAAATGTAGAGAAAAGCTGACTGAACATTGATGTCTTTACCCCACCTCACCCTCACCAAAAAAACTTTTTCTGTTCTCAGGTGAAGTTTTGGAAAAAAATTTCTACCGGAACTTAGCTACTTTGCAACCGAGGACCGAAACCCCCAAAGGTGCACCAAAGCCACCCAGAAGCAAACCGCAGAATCTGAACTATTTATCCAGCAGCAGGCGCCGCACACTTTGGGCGTGGTAACGCTGTCACGTGATTGAAGGACTCGCCGCGATTTTACCCAAAAGCCACGCTTAACATGGCTGCCAGGCCTGGATGCCCGCGCCTCACCCAACATGGCCACAGGGAATGGGCCAAGCCCCGGATGCCAACATTCCGGAAGTGCCCGAGGGGCGGCGGAAGCGGAAGTGTCCCGGTGGTGGGGTCCGCGGGAAGTGTTTGTCGCGTTTCTCCCTCCCCTTTTACCAGTACAACAAACGAAGGGCTGGCATAGGTGAGGCGGCGGCCGGGTGGGCTTGGGGCGGGCGGCGAGCTACAGAGCCCGGGGTGCGTACAGCGGCTGGAGGCGACAGGATCGGGCTCTAGGGCCCTCGACCGGTTGGGCTCTCGGTCTCCGGCCCCTTTCGGGCCTAGAGCTCCTCGAAAAGCCGGGATTGGGTTTGTGGTGTATTGGGTTTGTGGTGGTTGGTCTTCGAGGCCCTGGTGGCGGCGTTTGCCACCTTGCCATAACTTTGCCCAAGATCCCAGTTTTAGCACTCTCTCTGAGTCTCGATTTCCTGAACAAAATGGGAGTTTTGGCCTGGCTAACTTTTGGGACCCCGTCGTACTCTGGGCGTCACAAATTCCACGATTTTAATGTTAAGTCAGTGTTTTAACCTGTGAATTGAAGCCTGTAGTCAGCTACTGAGGGATTTATCTGAGCAGGACGCGGTGAATACATCTTTGAGAGGCGGCCCACCGGGGGATAGGGAGCCCGGAGTTCTAGTGTTACCTCGTCCACCGACTCACTCTGACCTTGCCCATGTCAATTACCCTCTCTGTGGCATGGCTTACATATCTGTAAAATGAGGGTGTTGGGTGCGTTTGATGCCCCTCCGAGCTCAAAAGTCAGAATCTCAACTCCCTTTTGAGGAGTCTTTCCTTAGTAACACGCCTGAAAGCATCTCTTTTCTGCATTTTTGTATAACAAGGTGACTTATCAGAGGTGTCTACCATATTTCTTTCCAGACAACCAAGCCAAGCAAGGGCACCTGGGCACTTAGGAAGGTTGCTGTATTTCCTGTGCGCTGGAAAGCTCTGTCCTGAAGACTTAGTTTTTTGAACCTATATCAGCAGTGTAAAACACGCAAATGTGAAAAACAGACCTTTGTCTTAAAACTGCTCTTAAGTTGGCTGGTTTTCTTACTTTGGGCAAATACCTTCCTTTCTCTGGACTGGAGATTTCTCATCAGACAAATAAATTAGTTAGATTAGGTCACAGGTTCTTAATCCCCCTTCTCATACTCTGCAGGCTGAGCGGTAAAGAACACGCCTGCCAATGCAGGAAACACAGGTTCGATCCCTTGGTCAGGAAGATCCCTTGGAGAAGGAAATGGCAACCCACTCCAGTATTCTTTCTTGCCTGGGAAATCCCATGGACAGAGGAGCATTGCAGGCTACAGTCCATGGGGTCACAAAGAGTCCGGCGGGACTTAGTGACTAAACAACAAAACAACTGCACAAATGAAGAATAAAATAATAACTATAAATCCATGATTTTCTGGGGGAGGGAAAAGGTGAGATGTGGAGGGTACATGTTATGTAGCCATATAGATAGAAAAATCTGTGTTTCTAATTTTTAAATATTTTTTGACAATTCCTGGTCTAGGTTATCACTAAGGCTCTTTCTCTTTAAAATTTGTTGTGCTGTGATTCGTATGTCCTCTTTGGGTAAACTTTTGTGTGTGTTTGTTTAAAGGACTGTGTGCCTGGAGGTACACTCTTTAGTTTAAAAAAAAAAAAAAGATACTAAGACATAGAGAAGGAGAAAAAGGAAAAGATAGATCACAGTAAAGTGACATAGTGAAATAAAACAGGGCTTGAGTTAAAGATACAGCACTGGTAATGATACCTTGTTACAGCACTGATACTTTCTGGCAAGCCAGCTTACCTCTCTGGTTCTCACTTTCCTTATCTGGAAAATGAAAGATTTGACTGGATGATTCCTAGATGTTTTCAGCACTGTAATTCTGTTTTTCTTATTTGTTTTTTATCTGAGCAACTTGGTGGATGTGCTGCAGCATTTCTTTAGGCAGGAGAGGCTGTTCTAGGTGGTAGACAGTAGATCTGTGAGGAATGGTGTCAGATTAAGTGACATACAATATTACTTTGATATAAGCAAACTGAAGCCAAAAAAAAAAAAAAAACCCACAACAACAACAACTAAAGAAAGGTGTTAGAAACCTAAGGGGCAGGGGAGCCCCTGAGCTTCATGGGAGGAAAGGCTTTGTCACCACCTAGCACCTAGTAGGCAATAAAAAAATAATCAAGTGAGGGGACGGTTGGATGGATGGATAGACTGATAATAGCAAGTTTTAAAAAAGTTTCTCCAAAATATTATTATTAATTAGATACAGAATGGGAAATTGATTCAGTATTGTGAAAGTCTGATAAAAGAAGAGGTCCCTAGGTTTTCCAGTTAATTGTAAGATAAGTCAGTTTATCTCTTCCTTATAAAGTATGTTAGTAAGAGACAAACATGTACCTTGGAGGGTCCACTGTGATCTGAGGAAGAGAGTAATTAGAATAAGAGAGATGGAAGAGGATGTTGACAAGATGAGCAGGTATAAGAAGATTTCTAAGTTGTACATTTAGGGAGTAAAGGAGTGGATTTATGTAGGACTTTCTATAGGTATCAGTGATAGAATTGTGTACAATAAGTGTTAAAACTTCTCTAATGGGAATAGAGAATAAAAAGGGAAATGATTTTGCAAGCAAGGTGCTCCTCAGCAAATGGTAGAAATAGCCTTGAGGATTAAGGTTTAAAAGAGAGGGATAAATTTGGGAGCAACCAGAATGAATTAAATTAGTGGAGGATAGGTAGTCTAGTTTGGGATGGGGGAAACTTGAACTGGCAGATTGCAAGGAACGAAGCAGCCTAAGAAATTGTGTTAATGAAAAGGACCTTCCTTCCCTTGTTGAGTTTTCAAATTTAAAGAATACTCAGAAACAATTCAGACTTATTGTTAGTTAGAATGTACTTGGACCACTAGAACAAAAATGATGCTTCCTTTGGCCAAAGTCTGTTAAACAGCCTTTACAGGATGACTGTAGAGATCCAGGGCTTCTGTAAGCTATTGTGTGGGAATCAAATTAGATGCACCACAGGCTCTAATCTGTGAAGGAGGGTGTGGTCACCAGCAGTTTTATCAGAGCATCAAGAAGTGCGTCTCCCAGCATTGGGGCATAGTTCTGGAATGCGGCAGCCAGCTGAAGTGCAGAGGACTGACTTGATGACAGGTTGTATAGTGTAGGCTGAAAAATTTGAATCCCAGCATAAACTGACGCTTAATATATGCCCTTGGCAAGTGATTTATACCCTCTGGTTCTGTTTGTCCATCTAAAAATTGAGGAACCAGATTTGGATAGTGTCCTGTTGAAGAGCTTGCATGTCTCTGTGAAGCCCCTGAAAGTATATGAGCCTGGAAGTGTTTTGTTTTTCTCTTTGGGGGATGTACAACTGTTGTCATAGTCCCAAATGGGTTTGTGACCCACAAAAAATTAAGAACTGTGTGACTAATCTCTGAGGGACCCTTCACCTTTTAACTTAAACTGAAAATGAAAGTTTTGTCATTCAGAATGACGTTTCCTAGAGGTTTAGTCTCAGCCTCCAGAACTCAGTCGTGACTGACTTCACCTGGGGGCTGCATGCGACCCCGTGGACTGCAGCCCGCCAGACTCCTCTGTCCGTGGGATTTTACAGGCAAGAATACGGGAGCGGGTTGCCATTTCCTACTCCAGGGGATCTTCCCAACCCACAGATCAAACCCGCATCTCTTGTGTCTCCTGCATTAGCAGGTAGATTCTTTACCACTGTGCCACCAGGGACTCCCCCCCAAATAACACCCGTTGCTGCAAATAATAGTCTCTCTATATTTGTAGTCATTATTTATACTCACCTCTCCCTTACCCTCCATAATTCCTCTGCTAAACTTGTTCCTATGTGTCATCTTTATCCACTGCTGATAACTGGAATTTCCCTCTTCTCCCCTTTCAGCTGACTGCTGCTTTGGACCTCTCCTACCTGGCTGAGTTTCTCAAGTGACAAGTGGTAATATTTTGGAGAGAAGGGTAGGAGGAAACCAAGACAGAGAAGGCTAGTCATCATAGTTTTCTGTTGTCACCTGCTTTTATCCTTTATTCCACTGAAAGACAAGCAGTAGAGAGAGTGCACATATAAGAGAGACTTCATCATCACTAGGTCTCTTTGTCTTTCATAGTGTTTTCTTCTCAAACAGGGATAGCAGGCCTCTGTACTTAGTGGATTAAATGCTCTCAGCATAGTCTAGTCATGTATTTCACTCAAGTGATGATGAAGCCAGCTTCAGTTGAAACAGTTGTATAGGGTGTTTTGGTTATTGTTTGTTTTTAATAGAGTTTGAGTGGCGGTGAGGGAAAGGAATTGAGTCCATGAAGAAGTCTTTAATGTCCTTAACACTGCCAAGGACAGTGGGACTGGAGAGGACTTGGGGATTTCCCCTAGGTATGGGTCCTGAACTGTTAAAGCCCCTAGGTGGAAGATGGTAGTCTTATCCTTTACCCCACTGTTCATCTCCACGAGTCCCTTCCCTACCGAAGGCTCACTACTCCACTTGCTGACAAATAAGTAGCTCTGTGACCAAGTTTTCAATTCTAGACTTGATATGGGAACTATATATACAATTTGACCTAAAGTTTTGTTACAGTCCTGCTAACTTAGGCTCTTTGGTAGTTACTCTTAATGCATAGTAGGTTAAATGGATTTTTGTGGGCTTGCTGGAGACCTAACCTGACCTGTCTATAATGTTGTATAATGTCATATCTGTGAGTAAATATTTTCCTGAGTTCTAAACAAGGGAAATTATATAAACTCTGTGATATTTAAGGATCAATCTATTTCTTTAAAATTTCAAGTGTGTGTTGTTTACTGGAGCTACTAAATCTGATTCACACAAAACCACAGTATTGCAAAATAAGGAGCGATAAAAGATGGAATCATAAGATGAGAGTAGCAGATCTACACCACTTAGTGAAAGGAGGATGAAGGGCCAAGAAAGATTTTTACTTAAAGGATGAGGTCAAGAACATGGTATCCATAATGGTTAGAGTTAGCAAAGGTGAGGGTGTAAAGGGTGACGCATGTGCTAAATAACATAACTGGAGAATTAATCCATGGTTGGATTGGTCTGTACTGATTAATAGTCTTGTCAACGTATTTGAATGCCTCAGGGTAGCTATTTGTTTTGTGTTTTTATTAGAGTGTGATTATATTTATGCCAGGGTTACTGGCTTGTTGCTGAGATCATTGAGTGCTGTGGTGGCAAATAGAATGCTCATAGGAGCATGAAATGGTGCTTAGCTGCCTTTCTGCTGAACACATATGGAAGAATGGAAAGACTGATGGATGGTTACACATCAGATGTATGATTTGCTATGAATGAGGACTTGTCATCACCCAGTGGCCAGAGATTGAGATTCTTTTCCTGGCAGAGCCATAATCAATAAAATACTATCCAAGTTGCTACGAGAGAAGCACGTGTCAGTGAAGTATATTACAGGAACCTCAGAAGAGAAGTTTAGTAGGAGACATTTTCTCAGAGAACCTTAAACTATATATTGAAGGCAGAATAATGCTTTTGTAGCAAAGAGAAAAAGAAAGGGAAAGGAAGGACTTGCTAGTCAGAGTTAGTAGCTTGTTAGGAATAAAAGATGAATGTTAAATAAATGCATGAACTGAGATTGGTGTGGCTGGAATGAGCAAGTGGTAAAAATTGAAAGATGAGATTGGAAAAGTACTTGATCAGATTGGAAAGATTTTATCCTCTGGAAACTAGGATTTCTTGTAGGCTGATTTGGTTTCTGTTTGATCATGTCTATATATTTCTTTTTTTTTTTAATCATGTCTATATATTTCTTTAAAAACAAATTCAGTGAACTGTCGCTCATGTATCTACTGTGTAGAATTCCTTCAAACCATAGTACTAAGTGCATGTTGATATTAATCCACCCACAATTCTAAAAATTTATTTCTTTGGTTTTCCAGGCCATAGCTGATTAGAAGCAGCAAATTAAGAGGTTTGTGTGTGTGTGTGGGTGGAGTGCAGAGAGAAGCAAGCATGCTGACACCTGCCATAATTCACAGTGCATAACCATTCAGTGAAAGAAGAGACCAGAGCGCACACACACACACGCACACAAAAAAATATAAGAATTCACTTAGCCTTGTAGTTTTCTCCCATCTGCTGAAGCAAAGGAGCCCCAGGAACTCCATATAGTTCACTAATCCCTGAGAATATATTACAGAATATAATGTATATTCATATTGATCACTTCAGGTCATCAAGAAAAGGTGACACTTTTATTGACTCATCTCTGTAAAAAAATGGAAGCATGTGGTCCACTTTAGAAACTTTTGGTAGTACCAATATAATTAAGAAAAAACATTGGTGCATAAAAGGGAGCAAACACTGTAAATGAGAGACTGACAGATTTGCAGCAGCAGTTCTTTACATCACTGTATCATGATTAAGCTCTGAACTCTAGAGTTCTCTCACTTTGAGTCCACTTAATTTTTCAGAATTTTACCAGAGATAATTGATAATACTATTTAAATGACACTGTTATTCTTGTCTGGGGGGTCCCATGGACTAAGAAGTCTGGTGGGCTGCAGTTCATGGGGGTCACAAAAGAGACTCCATGGACATGACTGAGCACAGCATAGTCAGTATTTAATAATAGAAGAACAGTTCAATAAATTTTGCTATATTCACTTTCTATTCAAATTCAGTTACTAAAAAATAGTATTTTAATAGCATAGGAAAATTTCTCATGTTGAGTGACTATTTTACATGAACAGGTAAAACTGTATATATATATATATATGTGAGCTCAACTAGGTTAAAATATGCACAGAAAAATGATTAGAAGGAAATACACCAGTTGCCTTGAGTGGTATAACTTCTCTACATCTTTATACTTTTCTATACTTTACAGACTTTCTATAATGAGCATACAATAACTTTATAATCAGAAAATAATAAAGATTTTATAAAACAAAAAATAAATGACACTGTTTTCACATAGTTCCCTCTTAACCTGACCTACAAAATAAACCTCTAGGCGGAAGTTTGCTCATCTGACTTTTATCTCTTTTCCCTCACTCCGTTCTTCCTGTTCTCTTTTCCCCCCACTCAGTTCTTCCTCCTTTCTCCCTCCCATCCCCTCCTTCTTCCCTCAAACAAACCATACATACATTTAATACAAAAGTGAATTAACTTCTGCTCCTTCATATTTATGGGAGGGAGAGAGGGAGAAGGGTAGTTTTATTCTTCTGAAGTTGCTTATAAAATTTAGCAGTTTTTTTGGGTTTTGTTTTTTGTGGAAAAGGTTATTATTATCTTTTTTTAATCAAATTCTTAAAGGGATATATGACCCACTGGTAGAATCAGATCCCCTCACTTAAAAAAAAAAAAAGAAGAATTTAAACGGTGGTTCAAGTTCATAGAAATAATCTGGGGCTGACCCAGAACTAGAATCTAGGAGTCTTCTGCTTTCTGCTGTGTTAAAGGCAATCCTAGAATCATAAGCACCTGTATCTAGTTTAATGATCTTACCTTACACATGAGGAGAAATTGAGTGAATTAACTAGGAAGCAACAGTACAAATAGAATTCAGGACTCCCGATTCTTTGGATTTTTGCTCATTCTAAATAATTAGTTTTTACCTTTACTTCTCTTCAGAAAAAAGGTATTCTGTGCCTTTTGTGTAATATTTCTGTTAATTTGAATGTAGCCTGCATCATTGTAATAGCACTACTGTTGTGTGTCTGTATTTTAGAATAGACATTGTTTTACCTTTGTTTTATAAGGATAATTTCTGTCTGGGTTTGGCGTGTTTTAGTCTCCTCTAATCACTGGTTGCTTTCAGGTGCTTTGAAGTCAAGTAACCAAGAGGGGAGATTTGCTCTTTGATCCTGGAGATAACACAGCAATGGGTCCACGAAAGAAAAGTGTTAAAACGTGTCTCATGAGTAATGAAATTCCTGAGGAAGCAGTATCTGATGAAACAAAGGACTATATGAATCAACTTTCACATGAAGTGCTTTGCCATATTTTTAGGTAAGGTTTTGTTTGGTTGATTTTCACCTACCTGGAATTTATAAGTAGAAGCAAATCCTAGAGCTGTCTGTCCAGAATGGTAGTCACTAACTGGATGTGATGTTTAAATTAAAGATCTGGTATGGCTGGTGGCTACTGTATAGGATGGCACAGACAGTGAAGAACTTTCCTCTGTTGCAGAAAGTTCTGTTGGGGAGACATTGTCTAGATTGTTGACATTCCAGGCTGCTTAGAATTCCTATTGACTGATAGATTTGTTGACTTTTATTGTTACAGTACCATTTGTGTACAGCATAAGACAGTGTTTCTGACTTTCTGATTACAGTCCACAGTAAGAAGCATTTTGCTCAGTGTGCACATATATGTAAGTAAATGGATAAAAAAGTTTTGTGAAATAATAACCACCATATGCAGTGTACACATTAAGATCATTTTGACAAATTATTTTCAAAACCTTTTTTAAAAATTATATTTTTATCTAAACTGTACTTAACAACTGTTACAAAAACCAGAAACAAATCCAAAAAGACAACCAAAAAACTCTGTCATTATAATTTCTCCTGCTCTCGTCTTTCATTATCACTCAAATAAACACATCTTAACATACTTTGTCTCTGAAATAAGAGACCAGAGTTTGACTCTTGAGTCTCATTTGCTAGCTGTGGACCAATGATAGATATAAAAATGTTATTATGAGGATTCAGTGATATAATTATTTTTTTAATTTATGTATTTTTTTAATTGAAGGATAATTGCTTTACAGAATTTTGTTGTTTTCTGTCAAACATCAACATGAATCAACCATAGATATACATATGTCCCCTCCCTCTTTAACCTCCCTCCCATCTGAGATAATTCTTTTAAAGCACTTTATACAGTGCATGACACAAATACTTGCAAGCGTTAGTGATTATGACTATGTTGTGCCTTTTTTCGTATTACTACATGGTCTTTATGTCACTGCCTTCTGTCACACTGACTATGATGTAACTACCTTTATTCTTCTATTTCATCTGGATTACTAATAATTTTTCTCTTAAATGCAATTAACCTCTCTAAACATTTGAATTTTCTATAATTTTAGATTATTTACTTAGGGGAAATTTCCACATATGAAGTTCCTAGAAAGGTTTTCAATTTTTAAAAAATTATCAAATACTTGCAGATTATATAAAATAGTGATAGAGTTACTTTGGGGAACCATAGGCACTGTATTTTTTTTTTTTTTCAGTATAAATTTGTCTCAGTCTTTATCTTCTGCAGTTTGTTATTCTGTCAGTGTAGTTTTTGTTCAGTTCTGTCTGGTAATAGAAGGCCCAATTAACAGACCTTTTTTTTTTTTTTTAAACAAGATGATACTAAAGTTAACCTGGCAGGAAAACTCCTGTAGCCAAAATTTTCCAGAAATAGTCTGACCCTAGCAGATGTTCGAATGTATTCTAAAGTATAAAATAATTAAAGATTTGTTATGGGAGAAGATAGCCAGCCAGTTGGGTAAAACAGACTCCATATATAGGCTCCATATGTGGATTCAAATATATGTGGGGATCTGGTTTATGACAGACTAGGTATTCACATCAGTGAAGAAAAGCTGAGTGGATTATTCAGTGATAATGTCACAGCCTAAAAACTATTTGAAGAAAATAATAAAGTATGTTCTTATCTCTCATTTCTGACAACTGTATTCTTTTTTTTTTTTAATTTATTTATTTTAATTGGAAGCTAATTACTTTATAATATTGTGGTGTTTTTTGCCATACATTGACATGAAATCAGTCACTGGTGTACATGCTGACAACTGTATTCTAAATGTTTCAGTGAATTAAACAATGAAGCTATTAGAATTCTAGAGGAGAGCATAGGTAAAATGGTTTCTAGGGATTTGTGTTTGTTGTTTGTTGACTAATGGTAGGACGTATTAGGAACAAATTTGATCATATTTTAAATTGATAGTGGATTTGATTTTGCAGTTCAAACAGAATATGGCAGTAGAAGGAGTGGAATCAAGTAGAAGGACGTACCCTACTTTTTATGAAAAAAACATGCAGCAGATTGGCAGAATGTAATGATAACTGTGAACTAAGCTGGGTGCTTGAATTTGGTCTGAGATGTTTATTCTAAAAATAAACATTTATTTTTTAGGCTCTAAAGTTTTTATTTGAAGATTCTTTTTGTAGCCCTGTAGTAATTGTTTAGCATATTTTCATGAAATAAGAAAAAATTATGGTTTCCTTAAAAGAAACCCAATCTTTGCTGTACCTGCTGTGTTAAACACATCTTTTCTAAAACATGTTTGATCTGTCTTTTGAACTCCAGCTTTTTGACCATTTTTCTGTGGAGTAAAAATACATTGTTTATCTAATCTTCATAAGATTACTAATGTTTCTATTTCAAGGGAGTGTAATATTAAATAATATTAACTAAGGCAAATACTTTGGTTAAAAATTAATGATATGGGAGGGAAGTTTTAGTGGCAAAACTTGATTTAGAAAACAAATTCAATTTTTCACTGTTTATAAAATGCATAGTAATATAGTTTCTGAAAATTATCCTCATATCTGAGAAATAGAAACTGTAGATTAAGTCGACTTTTTTTTTTTTTGTAGAAAATTTGACTTTATTTGCTTTATTTAAATAGTTACAAAGGAGAAAGCAAAGGACCAGATATGGGGGGGAAAAATAGAGCAGAGAAATATTCAGCAGGCATACTTGGACTTTCCTTTAGAATTAGCTTAATTTTTAGGAAATAGACATCCATGCTCTTCCTCTCTCTTATCTAACTGTTGACTTTTTTTTCTGGTTAACTTTTTGATGAATTTCACTACTTGTAAAGTGGAACAATGATAGCACCTACTATATCAATGAGAGTTTTAGCAGAAAGCAAGGTATACTTGGCTGGAATTTGAAGATAATGAAGGAATCATTCAGAGAAGTGTAGGTAGGGTTAAGGGAACAGGTAAGAGATGTTAAAGAATTTATTCAGCTAGGGGATTAGCAGTAGCATAAAGCTTTTGCCATGCCTTCCACTGCCCAGTCAATTCATAAAGGGATGGGTTGGGGGCTGGGGAACACAGCAGAACAGAGAAGGAAAGAAAAAGGATTGCGGAGGGCTGTGTTGCAAACAGGAAAAGAATCTAGCTTGCAAAGTTGTGAAATGAAACAGTGGCTGTAGTACAGTGTCTGTGATACAACACCGGGTCAATAAAGAGGAGCTTTGCCTTTTTTCTTTTCCCTTAAATTAACCTAGGTCTGTTGAGAAAGAGATGAGATTTTTCTGATCTTTCAAAATATATAATAGTATTACTGGAAACAGAACAAAAGTAGAGGTTAGTTGAAAAGTTTCATGAAGGAAGAGATAACAGGGGAGGTTGGAAAAAGAAAATTGTAATTCAGATGAGTTTATGCTTATACAGTACTTAAAGAATATGTGATTAAAAGGTAAAAGATCTAGGGGAAAAGGTACACCATAAACTTAGTATACAGATCTGTTGATGAAGAAAACAGTAGAGATTCTTTGTGGTGGTGAACAGGAGCAGAGAGGAATGTTTTTAGCCACGTTAGGAAATGGATTCTATAAAATTATAAAATAATATAGGTTAGGTTTAAATTAATCATTTCTCTCTAATCTTTTTTACATTCCCATATCACCATACCTTGAAATATACTGACTTTTTTTTTTCTTTTAGATTTTCTTTGTTCTTATAAGGAGAAAGGCAGGATTTATGCAATGCTATATGGAGGGAGCTCTACACTTTCTGTGGATGCATAAGTATTTGCTGATTTTTTTTTTTTTTTTAGTAAAATCCTATGTATTTATATTAATCTTAAAACCTGGTGAATATTCCTAGGGTCTTATTTTACTTAAGAGGCAGGAGAATGGAGGAAGGAAAAAAATAACCTGTCAGTTAGATGAAGTAATTACCCACTTGATAAATCTGGGTTTCTTTCTCTTACAAAGGTACCTCCCCCTGCAGGATATCATGTGTATGGAGTGTCTTTCCCGGAAGCTAAAGGAAGCAGTCACCCTATATCTGAGAGTTGTGAGGGTTGTAGATCTCTGTGCAGGGCGATGGTGGGAATACATGCCAAGTGGTAAGTAAATTTAGCCTGTAATGTACAGTGGAACCTCACTGGAAACTAATAATGGTGTTCCCATCAAAAATTGCTTGTTGCTTTGGGATAGTCTTAACACTTTTAGAAGGTCTGTATGTACTAGGTGTTGGAATTTTCTCAAATTATGCATTGGCCTTGCACATGAAGAACTCGAAAAAGTTTGTAGCCTAACCATAACAAATGGACCTCAGGTAAAGAGACCCCTGGAAAAAGTCAATGACTTTAGTTAAGCGGAGCACACCTAAAAGGGAAGAATTAATATGAAGGGCTAATCAGGCTTCTTTTCAGTTAACAGCGGTCCTTTAATTACTTCACTTTAATGCTTAGCAATTTTGAATGTCTTTTTAAACTACCTTTCATCAACAGTATTCATATCCTGATATTTTGAAAATGTGATGAAGCCATGGTGCTGGGCAAAGTGGAGTGGTGGAGAGCTTAATGGAAATGAAGGGCTGAGGAGATTTTTGTCTTGCTCTGTTCTGTTATGAGAAACAGAACAGACTACCTCTGAAATATTGAGATGATGTACAGTTTGGGTTGCTACATAGCCTTTTAAGAGTTCATCAGTCAGCTGATAACTTTGTCACTTGATCAGAGTTATCACTAAATCTTTTTTTTGAAGACCATAACAAAGACTTGAGGCTAGAACCTAGCTTGGTGTGATGTTTGTCTTCAGATACTTTAAAGAAACTGTTGTAATGGGAAGAGGATTTATCATATTGCAGAGATAGAGAAAAGAAAAAATTAGGGGCAATGTGAAAAGGACTGTTATTTGTTTTATTAGGTTTGCTTTAACAGAGGTTAGGCCAGTAGGAATTGCGGAGATGAAGTTAATGCACTAACGAGACAGGATAGCAGAGCACCCGTGTGGTGCAATCTTAAAATGCAAATCTCTGCCCCTTATCAAACCAGAGAAGAATGTGTTTTTACATTGCTGTCTTCCTTTAGACTGTGATAAATACCTGTGAGCCCAAGGCTTCCCATCAGTGTAACAAATGTAAAAAAGTGAAATCAAAAGTCTAGAATAAGATCTCACTAACCCTGCTTCGCTAGTGCCACTTGGGTCTAGTCTCTGGAGTTTATACCCTGATTCTCTATATAATAATGCTAAATAAGATTTTTATATAGCATTTTATGGTGTACCTATGTGATATCCTTGGACTCTCCCACCATCTGTGTAAAGGTGGAACTTTACCCATTCTTGGGTGGGAGGCAATGTGTAATATACAACAAAAGAGGATGGCCATTGGCAAAGGTAATGTTCATTTTTTATTTTTTTTAATGGAGTGATAAACTTTTTCATTGGGTTGTGAGAGATATGTGAAATGATTAACACATTGAATGGCTTAGTCAGTACAGTTACTATACAGAACAATAATGAGGACTGTTGTTTTAATTAGAGAGACCAGGTAATCTCCAGGGTCCCTTCTTATTCTTCATTATTTGTGAATTTGGAGTTTATACAGCATCTTGACTAGCCCTGTACAACTAGAACAACTTTTGAAAACTGTAGTAAGACTTAATGGTTTGGAACTTTTATTCTTGAAAATTATTATTTTTATTTATTATTAGTGAATAAACAGTTGCCTTACTGATGGTCTCCATTAAAAACAAAAATTAAAATACTTATCTCTTTACTTTCCAAGCACTGGCAGCTTGTACTATGGAAGTATTTCTCTCTTCCCATCTGGTGGATTCCCACAATGGAGCACAGCTGGCCTTCAAGATAAATAGTTTTCTGTCAGCTCAGCATCCTCATAGTTTGGATCGTTTATGTTCTTAGCTAACTTGCACCTGTCTTGTTCAAAAGAATGAATTGTCTAAAATATCCTGGGAATGATGTTAAACACAGAATAGAGTAATTGTTGTGACATGGGTACCTAAGAGAACCCAGTTTGAGATGGGATTTCGGTTAGAACTGTGAGCTTCCTGAAAATGGGGATCCTGTCTTACTAATTTTTTTGGTTGTGTGCTCTATAGAGCATAAAGGTTTTATGGACCAGAAAGTACCTTTGGGGAAGGAGAGTGGTGGCCAGATAGGTTGTCCTTCCTGACCGCGAGGTCTGTCATCTGGGTTGAAAGTATGGTGTTCCTAGTTGAAGAGGTCTGTTCCTTAAAAGCAGCAGCAACAACAGCAACAAAATAATAAAAAGCCTCAACTGTGAAGTATCAACTCAGAATAGGTGGTGTTTCTAATACATTTTCTGTTCCTAAGGGAAATATTTTCTGTTCAACCATTTGTTCAGCTGTAATGTTAGCCTTATGAAAATTTAAAAATAATATCTTTTTGTTGTTAACATTTGATAAAAATAACAAGTGACGATAAACTTGGCTCTAAATACTTGTGAACTTCTTAGGCTTCACAGATTCCAGTTTTCTGACACTACTAAAGAAGATGCCAGATGTTGAACAGCTATATGGCCTTCACCCTCGATACCTTGAGAGGCGAAGGGTACGGGGCCATGAGGCTTTTAGCATTCCAGGAGTTCTGGAAGCTTTGCAGGCGTGCCCAAACTTAGTGGTGAGTGCACTTGGTTGAACATTTGACATCAACTGATTAATGAAGCACTAAATTAAGAGAATGATAAAACATGTTCATGCAAATTTCATTCACAACAAACTTTTAAGTTCCACTGCATACTTAGGATCTTATGATATAGAAATAGAAGCTTTGGATGCTAAGTAAAAGCCTTTCTTATGCTTGCTTTGGCATTATTTTGTAGGGTGTGGAAACTTCTCACTTGGAATTAGTAGAATCCATTTGGACATACATGCCACATGTTCATATTTTGGGGAAATTTCGTAACCGTAATGGAGCATTTCCAATTCCTCCTGAAAATAAACTGAAAATTCCTATAGGAGCCAAAATTCAAACTTTACATTTAGTTGGTGAGTACATGTTTCTTGGGTTACTTGTGACTCCTTTAAATGCCATACAGCTGAATATTAGTGGAAAGGGAATAATGGGGATTTTAGAAATAGCTTTGCTGATGGCAACTGAGAGGAGGGGTAGGATGGGGTGGGTGGTGGGAGGGTGGTTCAAGAAGGAGGGGACATATGTATGCCTTTGGCTGATTCATGTTGATGTGTGGCAGAAACACAATATTGTAAAGCAGTGATCCTCCAATTAAAAATTTAATTTTTAATTAAATATTTTTATTTTAAAGTACATATATGAAAAAGAAAAATGCTTCTGAGACTTGCATAAAAATATAGATTTCCCACTAAAGAGCCTTTGGGGCCAGAGGCCTGGTGGGTAGATGAGAAAACTACTACTTCAAAATCAGTCTATTTTCATTTTAATAGGCAGTTTGAGTAATTTGGAAAGTTGTTGGGCTTTTTGTGTTTTTGATTTTTTGAATGAGCTGGAATCTTGCCCCTGTTTTCTGATACCCACCTTTTGCTCCTAGCTCTACCCTTTAGGGGGCTTCCCTGGTGGCTCAGAGGGTAAAGCATCTGCCTGCAATGCAGGAGACCCGGGTTCGATCCCTGGGTCGGGAAGATCCCCTGGAGAAGGAAATGGCAACCCACTCCAGTATTCTTGCCTGGAAAATCCCATGGACTGAGGAACCTGGTAGGCTACAGTCCACGGGGTTGCAAAGAGTCGGACACGACCGAGCGACTTCACTACCCTTTAGAGGAGAGTTTAGAGAATAGTTCTCCAGTACAACTTACTGTGATGATGGAAATGTCCTATATTTGTACTATCACATATGGTACCCACTGTGGCCAGTGAAACACAAAAACTGAATTTTTAAATTTTATTGTAGTCTATCAGATAGCCACATGTAGCTAGTGGCTACTTTATTATCCTCTTCAGTTATAGAACATGACAGAATAAAAAATTTTAGATAAAAAAAGTTTACTTGTATCTTCTCCAAGCAGAAATCCCCCATTTCTTCAACCCAGAGCTTCTGGAAAACTCTGCCACTTCTCTTTTTCCCTGAGAAATGAGGAGGAAGTGGTCTTTTTCCAAAGACACCTTATTTGCAGTGATCACAGTGTGCATTCTCCATCTAAATATTCTCTGAAATTGTATCCCAGTAATTTCAAACCTAAGTAAATGATAAGGACAGACATTTTCTCAAATTTAATTTGTCATCTTTGGCTTAGATTGCTGAAAGGAATTTCAGGGTGGTGGGGAGGACTCCTGTTACTATAGTCTGACCTTTAATACTGATTAAGTGTTTTATTTAACTTCTACATATTGAGTATCTGCTGTGTTCCAAGCATTCTTCCAGATATTGGGGATGGTCCTGAAGAACTGGATATTTCTGAGACTGGGAAGGGAGAGCAGCAGGAACGATAAGGAATAGGTCTTAAAAACTACTAAGATATGCAGTCATGGGAGACATGCAAAGCTCTCCAGCAGTCCTTCCTCTACAAGATGAAGGGGTGGTTCTGATGAAACTTGGATATCTAGTTTGAATTTGGATTTTTAGATAATAAAGGAATTCTATAATATCTGAAGTTTATAAGCTCTCTAAAGTCAGAGACTGTGGTTATATCTATATTTTCCATGATGCCTGTCACAGTTCATTGCAAATATAAATAAGTACTTGGTAAATTTTGTTGAAATGCATTAATTCATTTGATTAATTCAACAGTTTAACACTGTGATGGTGATACAAACGTGTATAGTAAATTAATGAACATGCTGGGGAAGACAGGTAATTGTGTCCTTTGTTTATAGAATGGATTTGGGATAAAATGTGGATTGGGCATAGAATATAACTGTCTTGTCTGGGTCTGTCTCACCCTTGCTGCCCTTGGGTTTCCTAATCAGAACTGCCACCATGATGGTAGATGCTAAATAGATCTTTGTGAGTTTTGCATCTTGAGTCTCAATCTGTACCTTACTTCTGCTTTTCTTCCTTTGGACTAATCCCCAGTGAGTACAGTGTTTATGCATAGTGCAAAGCTAAAGCTAGCTATGCTTTTTCGGGTGGACCAGGTTAAGGAGTAATGCTTATAGTAGAATGTGCATAAATTTAGCTTTCAAAGAACCACCGATTTAAGTATTCCCAATTTGCTTTCTCTAGTTGCTGTTGCTAGCAGGGCTTCTGCTGACTCAAGGTTAAAAATTACATTAAACTGATTTTGCCAGCTGTTGCTTTCTAAATGTCATCACTCTGGATCCTTGAATTTCTTTCTGAGAATTTGTCACTTCTTTGCTGTTCCCTAATCTACAGTGTTTAGGCTTTTGGGCAAGTTCCTCAAACTGCTTCCTTCCATAAGAATTTTCAAGTTACCCATGTTCTCTCTTCTTCCATATTTGACTTATCCTCCTACTGTACATCCCCTTTCTTCCAGCAATGGTCCTCTGCAAATATGATTCCTGGTAACTCTTGAAGAGTTACAGAGTTAAGAGAAAAGCTTGTGTGTTTAAAATGTTGAAATACTTTTTAAATCCCATCTTTCCATTTGCCTTTTCTAAAGAAATTACAAAGTAGTCTGTTTATTGTTTGTTTAAATTGTTCTTTACAAGCCTGTTTTATATAAGCTTATCTTCATAGGTGCTAACTAGGTAATTTGTTCTGATGAAAATATCCAGGAAGGATATATTGTCAACTTGAAAAATAGACTGTTGAACCTGTACACAGCAAACAATGTCTTTTAGTGGTTTTCTTGTTTTTTTCTTTTTTTGTGTATATGCTTTAGGGGTGAATGTTCCTGAAATTCCTTGTATCCCAATGCTAAGGCACCTTTACATGAAGTGGGTAAGACTCACTAAACCACAGCCATTCAAAGATTTTCTTTGCATCAGTTTACGAACTTTTGTCATGAGGAACTGTGCAGGTAAGGGTCTATAGTTGTAGTGGAAATATACATATACCATTCTAAAAATATCCTAAAGCAAACTGCATAGATATGATACAGTTGTAAGTGAAATTATATTATGCTGTCACTATTTATGTTTGTAACTTACCTTATGTAGGTAAATGTACTTTTTTTGTTTTAAAGACAGTAGACATATGACTTGCCTTTGACCCTTCGCAGACAAAGTGTCAAAATGTCTCTACCTATTTCATATGGGCACTTTTTATATAGGTTTGTTTTAATAAATTTTTGTATACTTTGTCTCTGGTCTCTTGATCTTTTTGCATGTAAATGTTGTCTGACTTAATATACCATAAAGCATAAAACACTGCTTTTAGGATACTACATTTTTGTTCCAAAACCTTCAGTATTTCTGCTGTCCTAGTGTGTCAAGTGGGAACTGTTCTGCTTCAGAGTTCATAACCAGAGCTGTTCTTGATACCTTATTTCAGAGTCCTTTCCAAAATACCCCTTTTATTGTCAGGCCTGTCTACTCACTGTTGCCAAAAAACCGTACTAGCTCTCACTTGAGTGTCTATTCTTATTCTTGTTTTCTTGTCCTGAGGTTTAACACTTCCTTCTTCCTCTTTACTTGTATGCATCTTTTATGCAAGTTTTGCCTCATTGACTGACTGACTTCTCTTTTTTATGCAGTACATCAGATTTGATTTTTGTTCTTGATATGTTCTGCCTTTTTATCTTTTTATAATTATTCATATTTTATGTCCATGTCAGTTGCAAACTCTTTGATGGATAGGATCCTATCTTGTGATCTTCCATAACACCTAATATAATACTGGTCACATAGATGTTTAAGTCATTGAGCTGTTTACTTTAATGAAGGATGATATTTTCAACCTGCATTTTCCCCCTCAGTTATTTTCAGCTCAAAACTATTGAGACTCCAGGGAATTTTAAAAAAATACTAAATCTCTAATGTTACTGAAAAATCCTTATGCTGAATCAGTATGTGGTTGACTTACTAATGGTTTTGTTTCCAGTGATAAATTGTCGAGAGCCAGCCATTCAGCTATCATTTTCAGACATAGAATTTATAAGTATTCATATCAGTTGCTGATTTGAAAAATCATCTTGGCAATTTACATTGTTCCATTGAAATTGTTTTTCTTCAGGACCCACAAACTCCTTGAAATATGTCCCTTTAGTAACAGGCTTAGCCTCTGCCCGCAACTTGGAACATTTAGAAATGGTTCGAGTTCCTTTCCTTGGAGGTCTTATTCAGCATGTAGTTGAAGACAGTTGGAGATCAGGTATTCATTTTCCTTTAGTTACTAAATATTTTAAAAATAAGTTGAAAAATTTATTAAGCTTTTATTTAGCTTTTCTACATAGTCTTTATAAAAGGAGTGCTTGTTAGTAATTTTACTTTCTGTCTGGTGTATTTGATGAAGAATAAGTAACTATGAGTGTGGCTGGTAATCATTTCCTTTTTATGCAGTGTTAAACCTCAAAATAGTAGCATGATAAGTCATGTTTTCTGGCTTGTTAATACTTATCAGTTAGTTAATAATTCATGGTATATTTGAAATCTTTCTGAGAAAGGTTAACAGAAATATCCTAGTGGCTTTTGCTGAGAAGAGATATTTTTTGACTTAGACAAATTAGGTTTACAAAAGAACTCAGGCGTTAGAAATATTAACCTAACATTTGTCTGATACTTTATAGTATATGAAATATTTTAAAGTTTATCAGTTGGATACTAGATCTACCCATACCCATCAGATGATGACTTTTAAAAGAAAAAAAGACTTTACTGCCTACCACCCATAATTATATTTTAAATGATCATATGTAGTAGAATGTGCTCTGTGTTAACTATCTCCTCATTGCAACAAAAAGACCAAGAAGTTTAGCTATATAGATAATTAATAGTTGGGAACAGAAAATGTAACTTTGAATGTTGAAAATATAAATGGAAAATCATCGAGTACCATTGGTAACAAATAGATGTTATCATTAATACTGTTAAAATGAGTAAGCAGTGCATTTTTAACATTTTGTCAGTTAATCAAGTCTGGTGCAAGTGTAGTTCATTACATTGTGTGAAGGGAATGGAGACTCCCTCAAAATCAACAGTGTAATTTTTAGTCTATGTCTATAGTTAACAAGATGAAAGTCAGAAAGGAAAAGAAGACCACAGTGGAACTGTTCATTAGAAGACCTAGAAAGAGGTGCCAAAAGCCAAGAATTTGCATAAATGGCCTAAAAGAGCAACAGAAACTTTTCTTCCTTAATAAGTGTTTAAGAACAACTCTAATTTTACTTAAGGAGCCAGAATATCTCACACAATAGTTAATTCTATAAAAATCATAGATCCAAATATAAAAAATAAACTTTTCAAAAGAAAAGTTTGGAGAATGTCTTCTTTAACATTGTTGGGCAGAGATTTGTACATCAAAAAGCATTTACCATAAAGAAAAAAATTGGTAAACTGTGCTAAATTGAAATAAAGACTTTTTGTTGTTGTTCATCAAAAGGCATAAGTGAGAGCTTGAGTAAAAAATCAAGCTACAGAGTGGGAGAAGCTATTTGCAGTACAGCTGTCAGATGAATATTTAGAATACAAAGTAATGCTCAAAATTCTCCAAGCCAGGCTACAGCAATACGTGAACCGTGAACTTCCAGATGTTCAAGTTAGTTTTAGAAAAGGCAGAGGAACCAGAGATCAAATTGCCAGCATCTACTTAATCATCGAAAAAGCAAGAGAGTTCCAGAAAAACATCTATTCCTGCTTTATTGACTTTGCCAAAGCCTTTGACTGTGTGGATCACAATAAACTGTGGGAAATTCTGAAAGAGATGGGAATACCAGACTACCTGACCTGCCTCTTGAGAAATCTGTATGCAGGTCAGGAAGCAACAGTTAGAACTGGACATGGAACAACAGACTGGTTCCAAATAGGAAAAGGAGTATGTCAAGGCTGTATATTGTCACCCTGCTTATTT